CTGATCAATTTAAAAATAGAATAAAAAAAATTCTTTTGAGAAATGCATTTTATGATATTGAGCAGTTTTTTGACAGTGACTTTAATCATTTGTGAGCTCCGAGCTATTGTATTTGTTTTTAATATTGTTTTATCTGATTTTATTTATTCTGTTACAATCAATGTCAATTTTAATCTGTATTTATATTTTTACTAATTTTGGGATTATGTATGTATCTGCATTTGTAACTGTGTTGTAATTTGAAAATATCAATGTTTCTTTTCTGACGGGTGTAAACACTTTGTGTAATAACACGAACCAATAAAAGTGCAAAATGAAATGAAAAGATGTTCTCGTAAATGGGTTTAAATACATCTTTAAAAGAATAACAGTTTTAACATTTTTTTTTTCATGGTTTTTATTATCGTAACTATCGTAATAATGATAGTTTTCTTACTCAAACTGCTGTTCACTATTACATCTTGCAGTTGGATTGGCCAATCAACGTATAGTGTGGCGATTGTTCACACGTTTACCAAACTACAATAATAGAATACTGAAAAGGTATTTTATTTGAATTAAATATTAAGGCCATTGTTATTTCAGGGATATAGCAAATTCTTATCATTCCACGGAATGGGTGGTTCTCAGTAACCGATTACATCTCCATCACCACTGAAGGGCAAACAAATAATGAAACTGTTGTTGTATAATGCTTGGGGACTATTTGTAATCATATATTGTAAGTTTAATTACACATGATATGAAAAGACAACGTAGTACTACGTGCTATTTTAACACTATGATCGTGTAGTAATTTTAAACGTTGATTTCGATTGTAAAATATCAAGGCAGTTTATGTGTCAATAGTCAACATCCTCTTAACTGTATTCTGTTTTGACTCTACATTTAATTTAACATCCGGGAAGTAGAATATTGTTGTCGTAATTGACGATTAATATTTGCTCTGTCAGTGTAGCACGTAGTAACTAAGGCATTTTTTATTTACTGATGTCAAGGTCAAGTAATTACTGTACCGGGTATTGAACACATAATTTTTATTTAAACGGAACTGCACTGAGGGAAAAATCTTGCACGAAACGAGTAGGTAGGAGTAGGAAGCTTTAGTTTTTTTTTTTTTTGAAAATAAAATAATGATTGTTACATATTATATTTAATATTCGTATATCATTAATTGCACAAGCACACGAAAAAGATAAGTCTGTTCCAAGTACTAGACCTATGTCTTATATACTTTGACACCCTCCATTTAGTTTAAATCGCGAACAACTGCTGTTAAATAAAGAATATACGGAAAATCTCGCTTTGGGAGGGATCAGCACTAGGTATAATTGTAAAAACCTATTTAAAAAGACTGCAGCATTCGAATCCGAATTCAGAACTGCTCCATCATCCCCAGTTTTTTTTAAATCGCCGAGAAACCACCCTTAATTCCCAGAGATAGATAGAATTTCAGCCATATGATGACGGCAAAGAGTGGATGAGATTATTCGAAGATGTGAACATCGTTTTCAGATAAGGAATTGTTTCCTTTATTACCTACTCTTTCAAGTTGGACTCCCTCCAGTTATGAAAAATAGAATTTCCAAAGTTTCTGTATTTAACGGTGTTTTTTCACGATTAAAAAAAATTATGGAGGAATTCTGGATTTGCACTCAGTACACCAACATACGTTAAATATGATCAGTTTGCACAATTCTATAGCTTTCGCGCAAAACTTAAAAAAAGTCCGAAATTAAGAAAAATAAGGTGATATTCAAAATTAGTTCACAAGGGTGGTCTACAACTAGTCCTTAATAGTTTTGGAAACTCTACAAGTCACATTTCGTAAATTTAGTTCAATTTTACGGAAAACATATCAAGTGCAATAAGCTATTAATGATGTATTTTTATTTTCCAACGTATATAAGCAATCTTTACGTTGTTTCAATACAAATGTTTATTTCACAAATCTTAACGAGTCCCTATATAAAATGCTGCAAAACTTAATGAGTCCTCGGATTCGGAATCAAAATACATAAGGGTACATAGGTCTTTGGAACAGTCCACTTTTATTTTTTTATGTGCTTTTATTTTCCGTAATTTTATTATAGTGAGTATATATCACAAATTAATGTAATTGTAAAATATTAATATNATCAAAGAATAGTATAAATATATTAATGAGTGAAACGAATCACATAATAAAAACAAAACACTTTCTTGTAGAAAATATATTGATTTACTATAATTAAATAGTACTACATTACTTATTGCGCCACCACAAACAATTCACGGGGCATGTAGAGTAGAACAGCGTCAACCATTACTGTGCAAGCATAGTGTGAGGTGTGAAAGTTCATTTACATGAACACGAAACGAATAGTTCTCTTTTTAAATGAGGTTTGGAAGGCTTCAGTGAAATTATACTTATACCAATTTAATTGGCCTATTAATTAACCGTATCTTAATCAGAACTAAAAATATTGGTGTACGTAACAAAAATTTATTTATTGAGTAGTAGAGTTCTTTTAATTTAGAATTGATATATCACAGTCATTTTATAATTACTCTTGACTTGGAGTTGTATTATGTGATTCATATTATTTAATTAATTTCAAAGAATTGATGATATTAGTCAAAAATACAAATTGTTTAATATGAAATGGATTTATAAGAATACCTACGCAAAAAATACTACATATTTAAATTTTGAAAGTAAAAGTCACTTCTGGTTAAACCAGAAAATTAAAAACCATTTTCAATCAGTGAAAGGTTCTTTGTAAACATTAAAAGAAAATAAAAAAATGAAGTTGTAAATATTAACTTACAAAACTATACAAAAAAAATCGGATATTTGCCCCTCGTAAAGCAGTTGGCAAGCTAATTCGATACCAATGGTGATATAAAGAAAATGAAATAATAAAAAAAAGAATACAATGATAACGATGTTGCTACTGTTATGGACTCTGTACAAGACAATCCAAAGATGTCACTCAGGAACAAATCAGAAAAATAGATATTAGCAGATCTCATATTCAAAGAATTTTGGAATATAACAAAATCTATCTATCCAATGGACGAGAAACTGATTGAAAACAGATGTTTTCATCACAATATTTTATTTACTGATGAATCAACACAACTAATGACGTGGTTTCCTCTCAAAATTGTAGATACTGAGCTAAAGATAATCCAAATATTCGATTGATAACTAATAGTCAAAAATTAAAAAAAGTAAATATTTGATGTGGAATAATGTATCATAAAATAATTGGTCCTTACTTTTTGGAAGAAAATCTTTGAAAGTTCTCAATAATTTTGCCTTGGCAGAACTAGATACCGAAAACTTAGAGTTCAGAAGAAAACCAATATTTCAACTTGGCCTGCACGAGCACCCAACTTGTCTCCATTCGATTATTTGTTATGGGGATACCTAAAGCAAAAAGTGTATTTAAATGATTTTGACCATAACATTGATTTACTTAAGCAAAAAATTCAGAAAACTGTTGCTTCTATAAACGAAGAAATTATCTGATCTGTGTACAAGGAATTTAGAAAAATATTTTAAAAATGTGTGTATTACTTGGAACTTTACAAGTTGAATGCCAATGGCGTGGCAACCAACCCGGAAATTGTTCTACCGAGCTAGTTTCATATTATACTAAATTTAAAATAACAGTTTACTTATTTTTTACAATTTCTGTCTGCTTTAAGCAAGATAGCTAAAACTCGAGTCTTTTTATTTGCAAAATGTGATTATTTTTTTTTACCGAACCCCGTATTTAAGTATTTCTTGAGTTCTCGAACAACTTTGTTAATACAGTTTTTATAAAGAATAACTTTTTCTTGAAAAATCAACAATAAAAAAGTTTACAACAGTGCGGTACCCCATCCGGGGACACACTGTATAATCATTCAATATGAATTTGCTGAGTTCTTGGTTGTACTCGTAATAACACTTAGATTCCATAATTAATGCAATATTTGAAAGCACTCACGGTCTTTGTGTCCGTTTGGGCGTATAACATAATGGGAATCTATTAACTGGAGTTGGTGCTGCCTGTCGGGAAAGAAATGCCTCACATGATCTTTTCCGGTTCAGTAGGAAGCATGTAAAATAATTTAACTAAAAAAAGCCATGAAGCCATGTCCGCTAATATCATTTGATGGCATAAAAAATTAGAAGAAGATTGTTATCTAAATAGTGATGCATCATTGTAGTTAATAAAGTATGAGTATATTAATTTAAATTTTACCGCTTTATTTTTCACTCGTAGCGAGACGCGGCTAATTATGTTAAAATTAAGGTTAAAGATAATGAACCTGAAGTATCCTACTGCCCCTTATTGTTTCGCAGAAGATATGCGTTGCAATTATTTTAAGAAGCACAAATTAATAGTAGTGGCGACCTTGTTTTTTTTTTGCAGAAGATGATGTAGGTGGGTTCTTTTTTGTATAGCTTTAAATTATGAGTGTGACTCAGATACTATTATATAGATGTTCTTCTTCGCCTCTTTCACTAAGACACTGCTCTATTAGCACACTGGTTTGCTTGTATCTCTCTTTTACCGTTCACATACACCACTCAGTTTTAATCGTATGATACACGTATTATAAGTACAAAACTGATCAGTATATGGAGATCATTCGTTCCATTTTTACCGGTGTTGTTTGACATATCACCACAAGTCCGTTTTCCCAATGTATGATAGAGGATCGTACTATTAAGACTATAATACAGGGATGGCCAAAACTACGGAATAAAATTCATATCTTTTGAATGAGTTATTTTTTTTTAAAACGCCGAAACACGTTAACTGATTTTGATTTTTTCCCATCTTTCGGTTATATAATAATTAATTTTTCTTCAACCCCCTAACCCCCAGCTACTCCTACTTTTTTTTCAAATGGAAACATAAGGCATGAGGGGGCTCGTTGAAAAGCTTATAGAAAACCGAATCCAGCCATACCAAATAAACAAGTTTTNATATTCCAACATTCATAAACTTAAGAGAATAATGGCTTATTGTTTACGATTTCTATTTAATTCAAAAAATCCTAAGAACAAGAAACTTGGTGTTTTAACGATAAAAGAAATAAATGAATCATTTAACGTACTTTTGAGAATTTCACAGGAGCAGTCGTTCCCACAAGAAATCCGTGACTTAAAGAAAAATAATTGTGTAAATAATTCCAGTAGTATTTTAAATCTACGTCCTTTCATAGATTCGAATTTTATAATAAGAGTAGGTGGTAGAATTGCAAAGGCACGTTTACCCTATAATAAAAAACATCCAATCATTTTACACAAAAAACATCCTTTGACTAGTTTAATAATAATCAATGAACATAAGATGTTATTGCATTGCGGACCACAGCAACTTTTATATGCGGTTAGGGAAAATTTTTGGCCATTATCAGGACGCGACCTGACCCGAAAGGTTGTACACAATTGCATTACCTGTTTTAGAGCGAAACCTAAGGCTTGCGAAAGTATTATGGGTGAATTACCTAGTGAAAGAATAAATCAGTGTTTTCCATTTACTAACGTTGGTTGTGACTATGCTGGTCCAGTTTATGTAAAAGACCGTAAAACGCGTAAACCAATATTATCTAAAGGATGGATTTCAATTTTTGTATGCATGGCAACAAAGGCGATTCATATTGACCTTGTGACTGATTTAAGTACTCAATCTTTCATAGCTTGTCTCAAAAGATTTATAGCTCGAAGAGGAAAGCCCTCAATAATTTTCTCGGACAACGGGAGTCAGTACATTGGTGCAAACGCGGAACTGTTGAAGTTTATTCAGACTAACAAAGAAACAATATCTAAATATTTTAATAGTGAAGGAATTACTTGGAAATTTATTCCCCCGAGAGCCCCAAATTTCGGCGGATTGTGGGAAGGCGGTGTGAAAAGTTTAAAATATCATTTGAAGCGGGTTATGGGTAACTATCATCTGCATTTTGACGATTTTTGTACCTTATTGTGTCAAATTGAAGCCGTATTAAATTCAAGGCCACTATCCCCATTATCCTCAAGTCCTGATGACTATGTACCACTAACACCTGCACATTTCCTTATTGGTAGACCTTTTACCTCCCTACCAGAGCCAAATTACATATGTATACCAGAAAACCGACTCAAATTACATCAAAATCTCCAAAGAATAATCCAAATATTTTGGAAAAGATGGAATAAAGAATATATTGGCGAACTTCAGACCAGACTCAAATGGAGTAAAAACTACAAGCAACTACTACAAATAGGCAGTTTAGTAATCGTGAAGGATGACAATGCACCCCCACTGCAATGGAGGATGGCCAGAGTTATGCAGCTGCACCCAGGTGATGACCAAATAGTGCGTGTTGTTACTGTGAGGTTCAGTGACGGGAGTGTGTTAAAAAGGTCTGTTCGAAAGTTATGTTTAGTACCGTTTCAAGACCTTCAAGATCAACCTTGTGAATCTTAAACTTTGCGTAGTAACAATTTTAAAATCTATTTTTTTTTTATCTTTGCTTATGTTTTATTTGAAATAGCCAGGCATTTCAAGGCCGGCGGTATCCTGTTTAATGTAGATTGATATTTGTCATGTCGACTGAACGCGCTGTGTAATATAGCATCCGTGCCAGCGTGTGTGCATGTCAACCGGGCGCGCAGGCGCTGGAAGAAAGGCTGCCTTCCTGCGCGGAGGCGAGCGTAAATGTTTTTAGTATAGTATAGCAACAGGTTGGTGTTGCGCTATGTATAATACAGTCCACTCAATATTTATATTTGTAAAAGTCGAAGTAAATAGTAGATGAAAATAAACTGCAATTTTATTTGGCTCCAACAGGTACCATCCAGGTTTAAGACGATTAATTTTATTTAATAGCGCTCTTCATCAGAATACTCTTGTAAAAAATGGCATTAGCGATAAATCTTCGGCGGGTAGACTTTACTGTTCCTTGGTATTGCCTGTGTCCTAAATACCAAATAACTGTCATGACGTACGCACAACATCCTACCGTTCTTACATTGACAATAGTAACCACGAATGTCTTCTGGACTTGCCTTGTCTAAATCTAGAACAATAATAAATGAATATATAACATACAGAAAATATCATTCCTCCTACGGGAGTCGCATTTCCTTTATAGTACTCACATTCTGTTTTTCGTTTTTCTAAAACGGAGGTCATACTTGTAATCAGTATACCAAAAAACGTAGGACACTTTTCAATGGACGTATTAGACCCAAAATTGGCACCCTTCTTTAAAAAAAGTTATTATACCTTCAGCTTTTTCCATCAACTTGCGAGATGTCAAATGTATGATGCTGAATAATAAAAAATTAATATTTTTAGAAAATGAATGTTCTTATTTTAGTTTTAGACAAAAAATAAATTTTACTCCTATATGAATTGCAGTGGCTACAAAATAGTGCCAAAATTGTGTACAATACTATTTTTACTGCAGCCTATAAAGAATGCAGTCTATAAATTTATGAAGTCTAATCTAACTAAAACTTGGAAACCCTACATTATTCAGCTTGAAAGGTTTTGTTGTATTCCAATTTTATAGTATTGTAAATGCTGTAACATTTCTCTAAACATTTTGAATATTGGCTAGATTATTAAAACATTTTAAAATTTAATCTGTGTTTTAGTAAATTTATTGATAAAAATTGTTGGATAAATTAGCTTGACTTTATGAAACTTCTAGCTTTATTTATTAATCTTACTGTTTTTTCTTACATTATAAATTGTTATTGTGCAAACATTTAATTGTTTTAAATTATCTTATTAGTAATAAATTAGTTACATTTTTTTATTATGCCATCTGGTTTCCTCTCAACCGAAACATTCAAGAAGGGAAGGACGGTATTTTTCTCTACTTCCATGGTAAACTGGATATCTGGATGTATCCCATTGATGTGATCCAGGAAATCCGCTACGGTGTTGCGTCCGTGGGGCCAGATGACGAAGGTGTCGTCAATGTATCGGTACCAACACTTAGGCTTCAGCGTTGTGGATTCCAGGGCATTCTTCTCAAAGGCTGCCATGTATATATTGGCCAGGACTGGAGATAACGCTGAACCCATTGCTGCTCCCTCGGTCTGTTCGTAGAATTGGTCCAGGAATGCAAAGAAGGTTGATTTTATGCACACTTTTACCAAAGCCATTAGGCTCTCATCCTTGTCCTTTGTGAATAGTCTTCGATGCAGTTCCTTCAAGGCTTCGTCGACGAGTACCTCCGTAAATAGGGATGTAACATCGAAGTTCACCAGGATATCTTCTGGATGAAGGTCAATTCCTCGGATCCTGTCGATAAAAAAACTCCGGTGTTCTTGACGTGATGCTCTGTTCTCCCTACCAAGTCCCTTATCTCCTATGCGACTGCACTCACTATCGGTCAAAGAGGGGTACTCGGTTTGTGAATCTTTGGAAGGCAGTACATCTGAGGTGTCCTTGAGTTGGATTGGATCAAACTCCTGTAAAGTTCCTTAGACTCGGACTACAGCGGCTACCTTCTTCTCAACTTTCTTGAGTGGGTTGTTTCGGATGTTTTTGTAAATGAGATCCAACAATAAGTTTTCCACCTTGGCGATGTAGTCAACGGTGTTCAGTACGATTATTGAATTCCCCTTGTCGGCAGGCAGTATTATTATTGATTTATTCTTCTGAAGCTCTTTAAGGGCTTGAATCTCCCTCCGGTTCAGGTTGGGTTTGGGAGGTTTAGCAGTCCGTAGAATGTGTGCTGCGTCGGCTCTCTCTTCTTCAGCCACATCTGCTGGTAGACGTCGGCAAGTGGTCTCCAGAGAACTTATAATTTCCTCCTCCAGGAAAGGTCTACAAAGGACAAACATGAAGGCACATCAACACGAAGATAAAGGAACACAAAAGTCACCTCAAAAATAATAACTGGGAAAAATCGGCAGTAGCAACGTCATGGATCAGTGACCACATCAAACATAAATAGTGACAAGATTAGTAGTTTCAGAGTAACTTCCGAAGACAAGAGCGATATGTTTCTCGAAACTTCAAGAGTTGTAAATTGACGACGTGGCAACCAACCCGGAAATCATTCAACCAATTACGTACCAAATTTTATTGACATCGTCTACTGTTTTTTCCAAAACAATATAATTTTACCATTCAAATGTGACCAAGTATTTTACTTGTACTCTGTATATCCTAGGTTTCAACTGTTGCTTACATTTTGTTATTCTCGGTTTCATGATTTTAGTTCTCAAATATTTTCTCTTTCTCAAAATTACAGTGTACTTTTTGATGTACCTAACTATCTTTATTTAACTAACAATTTAAAAAATTGTAGTATTTAATTACTGACCCGCCATGAGTTTAAATTCTGTTAATTTATTTTTCTAATCTATTTATTTATATCACCATATTTTCCTTAAAAATATTTCAGTATTTTGTGTCCTCATTACTTTATTTGGCTTATTTCTGTTTTGTTTATCACGTTACATTTCTTTAAAAGCGGATGATTGTTTTTTTAATTAATAACTATTCATATATTCGAATAATGTAGATTTCCCCCATAATCATCAACAACTCTCATTAACCTTAATTGCCTTGTATTCTGTATTTGCTTGAATAGAGATAATTTCCTTGCTTAAGTTTCTATTCGTTTATTTTTAATAACACTTTCCTGCCATGTCAGCTAATTTTCTTAATATTTTTTGTAAATATTATTTATTTTTATCAATGCTCACTTAGAATGGTTAAATAACTAAAGAAAAGGGAATAAGAAAATGATTAACAACTTCGTGTTTGGCAAAAAATTTATATTTCATCAATCAGTTTAATATCACTAAGTGGGCGACTACAATAATTAGATTACAAAAATTTGGAAATGCAAATGTATATTCATAATTACATGCACATCACTTTTTGATAAATGTTGGATGATATCAACACCAAGTATGTGCATCAAGTTAAAAGTTATAGCGAATAATTTCAGTCAAAACGACTAAACACCCTGTATCTCAGAAAGGATAATTATTGGGTATTTCGAAGCTAGCTAAATGTGTTCCATTTTCCAATAAAGTTTGTCACTTTAAACCTGGAACATCGTATATATTAATACTTAATACTTAAATGGAAACATGTTATTTACTTCTTGATTTCTTTCCCAATATTGACAAACATTCAATAAATTGTTAAAATATTTTCATACAGCTCAGTCCGCTTTGTTTTTCGTTTCGTTACAGTTATTTTAACTTCTCTAATTTTTTAGATTTGAGATACCAAAAATACCTGTAATATTTCTTAACGCAGATGTGTCAGACATCCTGCGGTGAAATAAACTTGTTTAAACCTTTATTAAAATGTACTGCCGTCGTGTCTATTGGTTAACGTGCAATGAGAGTTACAGAATTCAAATTATGCCGGAGAAAATAAGCCTATTCAATAAACAGTTAAATATTTTATTTCAAATTACATAACATCGGCTACATTTCCAAACTGTTGTTTATTGAGAAACTGAGGTATACATTTTACTGCCTGCCAAAGCAACTGAACCGAGATTGATGTAACGTAAATTACAATATAGATCTAGTTACTCTTGTTGCGGCAACCCCGGCGTCGTCAATCATTTGTCCATTGCAGGCATTCGATTCATTCATTAATTGGCCTAAATAGGCCGACACAATAATTATAAAATTGCAGCATGTTACTAAACTAATTTTTAAAATGGATTCTTCTCATATAAATCGTAAACGAAACAAGGAAAATTGTTTACGACTGTACAAAATTTTATTAAATATAAATCCCCAAAATTTGAAATATTTTCAGCTACAATGGAAAGGATTTTGTAAAAAAATCGTATTTATAAAAACACAAAACTATAAATTTATCCATTTAAAATTCCTGAATATACAATTCATATCTACTCTAACTTAAAACATTAATCTTTCTATATTCTGGAATGGAATGAAACATTTAAATATGAGAAGACAAGAATCATAAAGAGGTTAGATGGACGCAGTCAAAACTGTTGAAGAAAATGGGTTGATCATTAAACAAGCCTCTCAAAATATGAATCTATATTAAAAGAAGATAAAAACGAAAGAAGAAAAAAGTAGAAGAACAAAGAAAAAATAAATTACTTAGTGATAAGAAATTTTGCTTCATAAATGGCATCATACCAGTGACGAGGTCATTGATATATAATATACATACAATTCAATAAAATCTTAGAAGCTACAGGAAAATTAGTAAATTCATCAGAAGCTAGCTGCAGCAGAACTCAGTTAGTTAAAAACAAAGAAGATGCCACCCCAAAAGTGACCGTAACTAATCGAAAATCTTGGATAACATTTGGTGAAAATCTCCAAACAATTCTTTGAAAATCTCTCTGTTCTTGTGTAATCAGAATCTGTAGAAATATTTGTTTAATATCAGCAGTGAAAACTACAAAGTGTAATCTGAATTTTAATAAGACGGTAACTATATCCTGTTGCAATTTA